AATACTATAGTGCTTCTTTATTAATTACTCGAGGGAAAAAAAAAACGATTGTTAAAGAAAGGAATGTGATCCCATTTAAACAAATAACATTTTCACGGGAAATTTTTTGCGTCTAAAAGGGTTCACAAATTGTTTTTATTAGAAGAAAATAGTTTATGAGTGTTAGTTAGTGTTAAATTCGTTATTTTTTTATATTTTATTTTTATCTTTTATCAAAGATTACCTATTCTTGTTCTTTAACTTTGAATGTATTCTATTCAATTAACGTTTCTCATCAATCAATTTTCCTCAAATAAATTACATTATTTTTTTCCCCATCTCCTTACCTGAGTTAAATAATGAATTGCATTATCAGATGTACTCTGGTCATAATTTGATTGTCAATAGTTGTTCTTTTTTGGTAATTAAATTCGTTCTCAATATGTTAGAAAACAAATTCCTAACTAAAAAGGAACTAAACTTTTAGCCTGTATTACCAGTTTTTGTGTTCTGTAATTTCCTTATTAATGGTTATGAGATAGTTCGAACATTTAGTACTTTTTTCAGTAAAAGATTTTTTTTGTTGCTTTGAAAAGATGGTTTTTGTTTACAAGTACGCTTTTAAAGATAAAGATAAGTGACAAAAATAACACAAAAAAACAAACAAACAAAAAACAAACAGAACTAAAACAAACAGTTAATACATAAGTTCATAGTAGATTATGTATTGAAAAATCTTGCATCTTAACAAATATAGGCGTTAAACAAAATCATGCATACAATACTTAACTAATTCTATTCTAACTACCTTTCTTTTATCTTCTAATGTTTAAAAATTTCAAAATGTTAAAATTTTAGGTCATTTTGAAAGATCATGGTCAGAGCTTTTATAAATGGTGCCTTTCTTAGTCATGTAAAATTTTTTATCAACTAAAATGGGCACAAGAAGTTTAACACTTATTAACACTCTAGATCTAAAAATAACCGTCTTATTAATATTACGCGATTAAAGTTCTTTTTACGAGCCTTCCATGGCCAAGCAATATTGCCGTTCCGCCAAACGTTTTCTAATACGAAAATAGCGGGTTCGAATCTTGCCTTAACCGTAGATGCATCTTTGTGTTGCATTTCTCTAACTTATTTTTATCTGTTTAGAGCTTACAAATCCTTTTATAGGAGCTTTTTTTTTAACTTAAAAAAGGTAACCATCGTAATTAACACTCGTTATGAGTTACACCTGTATACGTTAAAGTTACTCTTGAAAAAGTCCCGCAGTGGACTGATCGTTAAGACACGCTTCCCAGTAGATCACCGGCTGTGGTGTCAGTGTGCGGGTGGGTGACCACTTGGATTAGTCTGCGTAGGGACCGAGGGTGTGCGGCATTGGTCCTCGCTAAACTGTTCTACCGTGAAGTGCTCGACTTCGCGTGCAGGTCGTTGGGCTACCGAAGCGGGGTGCCATCCCCTCTGCAGAGGATCAAATTTGTGATGGCTTGTCTTCGGATCATCCTCAGGGATGTTCCCCAGACAGTCGCCAATTGCCCATTGTGCAGCTCTAGTGCGATGTAAATTAACTACAACAACTACTCTTGAAAAAAGGTAGAAAAAAAATTTCTTACTACCAGTTTTTCTTAAAATTTTTTCGTTGGGTTAAGTAGCAGCAGCTATATTACATGGAACAGAATAATTTTCTCAACCATGTCTCTTTTGAACAATTTTCTGATGACCCAATTTTAGGTTTGCTACTATCCATGTCGAACTCCTCAGCCTCGTAGCTTTGCACCCAACACGTAAGACAAGAGAACTTCTAAATCAAGCATTCAGACAAACAAGCCTTCGTGGAAGACTTTTTGCTGGAACTAAAGCGCATTTGAATTACACGGAGAAGAAAACCACGAAGAACTTCCCACATTTAATACGACTGGATTCTAACCCAGAATCTGTCTACTACTAAGGATATTTCACGTCAGCATTGTGATCAGCTCGAGCTGGGTGCACAATTCGTATCCACCAGCCATCGCTGGGGTTCGAACCTAGATCTATTCATCATGGCTATCGCCTGAACAATTAAAAATTGTGGCTTAGCTTTATGTTGTTCCTAACAATTTTTATAAATCTTACTGAGTTCGATTGGTTATCGATTTGAGTTTCAAGCAAGATTTAAAAGTAATATTTTCGACAAATCAATTCTCGCTCTTTGATGGTGAAAGTTTTATTCATTCTGTAAAATATTTTCCAGTGTATTCAAAGTGACAATTTTACTGATTTCTCATTTCTTAGAACTTTTAATCTAGAATTTAAGGACTTATCTTTCATTGATGTTAGGGATTTAATTTCCCTACATGCGGCCGCCTCTTCTCTGCTGCTTTTATAATGAAATCCCTGTTTCCGATGAGTGTTCTTTACTCAAGTTGTCGCTTTCGGAATTTTAAGGAGTCATCCCCTGGTATGGGGATTAATCGACAAGTGGAATTAATTTACGTCAGGAAATTTAGGAAAAGTTTGAAAGTTGAATCTTAAAAGTTTCATAAAACTACATGAAACAACTGGAAATCAATTTTAGGATTATAAGGCTAATATTCTTTACGTAATATTTTCAGAAAAGTTGAGAGTTTTGTAGATACAATACGAAATTCAAAACAGTTAAAGAGATTTAAGTTTTTTTAATTTTGTAGAAAAAAATTAAAAAAGCAATTGTATAATAATAAAAAAATAGCATAAAATTTATGAAAATCTCGCATTAACTACTACTTCAATTAAAAAAAATTCAAACAGGAGACTTTTAAATCAATAAGCGGAAATTTAATTAATGCTATGCTTGTTATTCTGATTTTTAGAGATAGTTTGAAAGTAATATGTTAAAAGTTTCACTAAGAAATCAATCAATTATGAAACAAGAAGAAATCAATCTTACAATTATTACTTGAAACATTGATATTAAATTGCGATTTGTAAGTATAATGAAAATTTTTCAACAGTTGGAATTAGAGTATTTTATAATTCCGATACCAAAAACACACATAAAGAAGGAATTGGGTTCTTGCAACTCGAGAAAATGTGAAGTGATTATACCTAAGCCTAACCGTGTAATTTAAATCTGATACCTGTAAGCTTTGTCACGCGTGTGTGTTGACCCTGATAGGCTTCTGAATCGACAAATGCCACGATTTACATACGATGAGTCATTTTCAGATATCCAGTTGTGTAATAATGGAAGAAATGAGAAGAAATGGTCCACACAGAAAAAAATGGTTTAATTCATAATTTGACGAATTCTACTCGCAGAATTTCAAATATAAATAATAATTTTTTCACTACATTTATTTCAACATTTCTGATTGTATAGCGAATTTTTACTTATAAATTATAAAAGAAGCATAGTTTGTCACGTCACAGACTGCATTTTTTTTTGCGAATTATGAAATAAATAAATGTTCATTTTGCGTAGAATTATACTATTTTGTAATTTTCTTTTTAAAAATAAAACAATGAGTAAAAATTCCCTTTAGAATCCAAAAAATACTTGAATAGATATTAAAAAAGAAGATCGAACTTAAAAAAGAACAAAAAACCAACTCGTTAGCAAACGTTATTATTAAATATCGTCTGCAATTCAATTGATGAACAGCTTTTGTAAAACTATTGATACTCAACCAGCATTTTATAAGAATTTCGATGCATTAGAACATGTTATTCCTGTTTAATGAGATAAACGTAATTTGCAAGCTCATTAGTGTGAATAATGACGAAGCTTCCTTTGCACAAACAACGGCGATCATTAAAATTAACGCTCGCCTCAGCAAGATATCACGTGATCCATGTTTTGAGGAACCACAAAAGGAATTCTATTCTTTACAAAAAAAGAGATGTAACATTTTGGTTTCCATTTCACTTAGTTCCGCTTTCTAGCCGAATTTTAAATTCACATTTCTTAAAGTGATTATTTTACCCAGGCAAATGCTCTTTTTATACTTAAGCATTTTTTTACACATCACCTGCTTCAATAATTGTATTCAATTTAATTTTATATCATTCAGCTTAAAAATTCATAAATTTAAGTTTCCTTATCCTTTTTAATTAATCTAGTGGGATGAAAACACCATATTTATTTGTTTTTAAAACTTATTATTTTTTTTCCGAATAAGTTAAGCAAAGATGCCATTGTATTTTAATGTATGATTCTGAGTTTAGTAAATTTGATTTTGTCGACCACATCATTTGTTTTTGTCGTTAATTAAAACTTTCATATGAAGTGCCGATATGTTCCAGCATGTCTCGTATGGTCCTTAAAAAAATTAAAAAAGTGATGGTAATATTCTAAATAAAGGAATTATAAATTTCTTTTTATTAGCATTCACTTTAAAATTTAAAAAAAAAAAAACTTATGCAGGTGATTTTGCTACTATATTTATTTGAAAATTAACTATATTTATTTGAAAATTAACATAGTGGTGTGGGATGCAAAATAATTAAATAATTCCACAAGGTGCTGATAGGTAGTCTGAGGTATCTGGTACCAAGCGCTCACCAACTGGTCCTGCAATTCCCTCACATTGAGAGGGCGTAGCGTGGCAGCACGAATTTGGTTTTCCAAGTTAGACAACAAATGCTCTTCAGGTGAATTTGGGGGTAGAGACATGACTTGAAAGTCACTGGAATGTTCCTCGAACCAATCCATGACGATTCGACCCTTATGACATGGTGCATTATCCTGTTGGTAAACACCATCCCCCGCAGGAGAAACTGTTGCCATGAATGGGTGAACCTGGTCTGCAAATATCTTCAAGTAGCTTACAGACGTCAGGGATTGTTCTATGAAGATTATGGGTCCTAATGTGCCCCATGAAANATATATATATATATATATATATATCATCTCACATTTTGAGCAAGGTTTTAAATAAAAAGTTTAACGACGTGCTGCCTAATAGCTAATATTTTCTATACTGATTTTCCATTTCAAATTTAATGGATTTGCAAGATAGGATTTGAGAAATACGAGCAACACTAATAAATCTTACTTTCTTTGTAGGGTCCGTTTCAATTGTCCACATGCATTCTATGTTGTCATCTTTTTTGTATTTAGAATATAAATGATTGATTTCTTCTTTCAAGATAATCCCAGATGGTCCGCTTTTTCTAAACGAGCATTCTGGCAAACAAGAAAAAAAAATATAAGCATGAGAAGTACAATATCTTTATAAATGAATAAAAATACACAGCACATAAATATACTGAAAGGTACATTAAAATTTTTCTTTCAATATGAGTGCAATCAGTTGTATTGTAAGTTTTAATCATTAACGTTCAATATTTCTGAAGCATTTCCTTGATTTCGATATTTAACAATTTTTTAATTTTTTAATGTATTACTATTTTTTAAATATTTTTTTAAATTGTTTCTTCTTGGGAATACAAAGAATTTAAAGTGGTTTATTTGTCGTATAGATGCACTTATAAAAATAGAACTAGCACTGGGAAATCTCAGTACTATATGTTTCTCTCTCTCTCTCGTATGCCTGTCAAGGCAGAGGGGTGAGATTGTTCTTGTTTTCCAGTGGCGCCATCTATGGCCAAGAATTCGACTTCTGCCGCACCATAAGTCAAGCCCGTTTATAGGGCGGACCCATTCATACATCCATTCATTCTCCCACAGATCTTAATTTTGACCTAAATCAGAGAACGATCAATCTCCAATCCAGTACCCCCAGAGGTTTGATTTGTTATGGGAACATGGAGGACTTTGCGACTCGACAGATTTAACGTGTATTAGTCACCATTTTACTACTCGAAGAGTCTTCGGCCGGCGGGGTTCGAACTCACGAACATGGGCCCAGCTCTCTACCGACCAGGCTATACCGGACTATATGCTTCTCAAAACGAAATTAGCGCAAAATGTTTGGATGTTTGTATTTGCTTCGATTTTCTCAAAATAAAGCTGAGGTTAAACAAGAAAAGCATTGGTTGTTAATTAGAACTTCCAGAAAGTGTACAGTGAGCCCCTCCCCCCCCCAAAAAATGGGCTGTCTTGAATAACTTTTGATCTAATGATAGGATTTTCACGTCCTAGGACTTAATCTTAATGGCTCGAGGGGGTGAACTCAAATATGCTACTTATAAGTGCAGACGATATTTAGAGTTACGAGATCAGACACAAAAACGCACTATCTCTGAATAAACTTAAAATTTTTTCGACGAATTCGGATTTCTGACTGCCAAAATATTGCGGTAGCTGCAATCTGGGAAATATGGTCCCAATAGTTTGGCCAAGAGAGTGCTCCAAAATCTGGACCCCTTAATATTAATTTTACTTTCTGCGTATTTCGCTATATCTCAAGAACTTTTAATTGAATTGAAAATTTTTTATATGCAATTATAAAATTCGTTTATCATTATAATTCCCCCCCCCCCCAAATAATTTTTAGTAAATATTTATCGTTTTTTTATCATTTTATTTAAGTATGGTTGTAAAAATTTTGTATAGAAAGGTATAAGAGGTTTTTGGATCATTTTAAAAAATACAATTTCACATGGCAAAATGCAAAATTTGAGTGAAATCGGTCGAATAGTTCCTGTATAATCGAACTTTAAGTATCAGACTTTGTTGAAACTTCATTTCTCATGAACTATTATGTAACTTAATAATGTTATAATGTTTCGATATAACTGAATAATGCTTTTTTAGAGTCCCGTTTAAGGGTCACTCTAAATTCTATTTCATTGCAATAAAATTCTATTCTAATTCTAATTCATTGCATTACTCTATATTCTATTTCATTGCAATAAAAATCTTTTAGTTGTGCCTTGTTTTTGCAAAAAAGAGAGTTTTAATATCTGTAATATTTGATAATTTATCATAGAAAGTAGTTTAACTTATTTATCAATTTAGACAAAGCCTCACTTTTCATAACAGCAAAAAATTTTAATGTTTATTTTATTTAGGAGTCAAATATTTTTCATGAATTAAGTACTTTGTTGTTTTTAAATTCGTAGGTTATATTTTTCTCAATTAGCTGGTAATATAAGGTTTATCTTTAGTTCAATTTCTGTTCGTGAGTAAATAGCAAAGGAATACAATAGTTGAGCGACGCTGTAAATTTGGTGTCCAGTTTACCTTAACTTCACGAGAAATGACCACATAAACACGAGAAATGTTGGCCACTTTTCATAAATACGTATTGACATATCAGGTATCGTAGGGTCATTAAAAGTTTTGAAAAAAAAATTGGTTTCTTTAATAGTTTACATTTCGTTTGGCTTCGTAATTTCAAGATGAAAACTAATAAAAAGTTTTTATTGCAATATTGAAAGCATTACTTTAATTTTCCTAAGGACTGTACGAATTCTGCATATTACCGGATAATATGTAGAATATCGAATATGCTAAATATCAAATAAATATAATTCAGAATCGGAAGATTAATAAATAATAAGTCCGGAATCAGAAGATACCTACTAGATGGAATTTTACTTATTAATCGTTTCTAAAGACCCAGAATTTTAAGAATATCTTAGCTGTGGAGAAGAATAAAGAATCACAACTTAAAAATGATGATTGGAGAAGATGAGTAAGGTGTGCAGTGGCTCCACGAAGCACGAGCAATTTTTAAAACCCTTTGTGCTTTTCCGAAACTTCAATCTATACATTAGAATTCGTTTATTAGATTCTTTTTATTAATTTTCCAAGATAAAATTCATACTTTACAACTTATACACTGTCTATTATTAAGTATTGGGACACCTATGCAAATGACTATATCTGCGGTGCTGAGATGCGTCACGCCCTCCGCCGGTATATATCGTGTAGGGAACAACATCGGCATTAGTTCAAGACTGCACTATTTTGCACTCCCATGCCAACTGCACTATTTTGGATGACAATGTGCTTCCTAATTTGTGGCAGTTTTGCGGGGTGGACCCCTGTTACTTCCAGGACGACAATGCCAGCTGTCATGTTGTGAGGGTTACCAAGGCTTGGTATGGTGCCAATGGTGTTAATTGAATGTACTGTCCTGCCCAAATCTGATCGCTATCGAAAACCTCCTAGAGGAGTTGGATCGCTGAATTAAGGGGTGCACTAAACGTCCAAAATCGGTGAAGGAGCTTACATGTCTTCTCCAAGCCGAGTGGAAGAAAATGCCGTCACACAAGGACTCGTGGAAAGTATGCCCCAGAGGGTTCACGCTGTAATTGCCTCTCGTGGAGGATCTACCAATTATTGATTATGAATAAAGTTTGTTTTTCTTTTCAATCACACGTGTCCAAATACTTATTGGTAGATAGTGTGGTAGACTTTTCATGGTTAACTACATAAAATGTGTTATTTTGTCGTATTTTTTTAAAAAATTTCATTTTTCCTTTCCAACAAGGCAAACTTTCCTCTACATAAGATGACCACTCGAAGTCAAACAGTTTCGTTTAACGTGTTGTTCTCAATATTTCTCTATCTTTAGCGCAAAATGTACTGAGTGCAGGCATGAGAATTTAAAATATGCATAAACATTTCTTGTATGTCCTTTCTTAGTATTTTTTATTTCGATTTTAAAGAAACTATGGCCAACTATCCTTGTATTACACTTAAACACTTTAGAGGGTGCTCCACTAAACTATTTCTGTGAATACAGAATAATTGATTTCATAAAATTCTAACATAGTTAGGTCTTTAAAAAATGTATAATGTGCATAGATATATATATATTGATATATTTACCTCTTTCGCTTTCTATGTCACCTTCACCTGCAATTAAATGTAAAATCATGATGATTTATATGATATGCATGTAAATTTGAAACAGGCACAAGCAGTAAAATAAAAATATAAATTAAGATTAAAAGAAAATTTAATCCCACATACTACTAGCTTTCAAAATATTATTATGTAGTATATTTTCCTAAAATAAGCATTTATTTTCTTCTTGAAAAGACAAGTTGCAAGTACTTGAAAATTTTTTAAAGAGTAGCAGTAACAAAGCTGCTAAACTTTACGCTTTTTATAAAAGATTTTTTTTTATGGTAGTAGCAAATTTTGTCTTTATACTTGATTTCATGCTTGTAAAATTTGATTAAAAATGAGCCATCATAATATAATTAATTGAACCATCGCATTAATTAGTTTAACCATTGCAACGTAATTAATTGAAAAGCATATGTAGGACATTTGTTAAACTAATAGAAATAATAAAGTACGAAATTGACAAAAACAATTCAATTCCACATAAGCTGACCACTTGTCTAAGTGAACATTCAAATTGTTAGCCCACAAGCGGTCATAGCAGTTTCCAATATATAACAGGCATAAAAGAAATGCTGTGGAACTGATAAGCAGAGATACCATTTTGGTCTACTCTCAGGTCTTCTACACTGTTAGAAATTTCTCGTAAAAAAGCATTAAATAAAAATTAATTTAATCGTTAATTTGCCATATTCAAATGAAAAAGTCTAAGACCCTAGTCTAGAAAAGTTTAGTAAGCTCAAAAGTGATAGCATTCAAATTGTTTATTCTGAGAAAAATCGCTTATTGATTGTTTTCATCTAATAACGTAAAACAACCGGAATTTTTTTCGCGCCCAATTGGCCCACAACCAATGAGAATCAGGTGTATGTTCTTCGAATGCTGGAAGCTAAACCATGGGATAAGAGTTACGAATTTATTTCTTTATTTTCCATCATCAGATGCCTAATGATCTTATAGCATGGGTGCAAGTTGGAAAAAAGGCCATTAATGAAAATTTTTTGACTGAAATACCTAACATACACAATACCCCCTCGACATATGCAAATTATCTAAGAAAGCTTTACCATAATACATCAAGTTTAAATACTGTACAAAAAATATTTATTCATCAGTCTTTTGATAAAATAACAACAAGACATAAGAAAGTAGACCAATAACGTAGACCTAAAAGGACAGAAAAAAAAATTCCGATTTCCGTCTTCGAGTCAGTCTTGTTTCCGTCTTACTTCCGCCAGCGGACATTTTCAAAAGACGGAAATCCGTCCTGGGGACGGAAGACTTGCACCCATGTCTTATAGTAATAAAGTGTGTGGCGAACCTCTTAAAGTCTGTGGCAAGCGACTTAATTCTTTGCAACTGGGTACATGCTTTAACCGTGGTTAGGGCACTAGGTTGTCATCGTGAAAAGCTGGGGTTCGATTCTCAGTAATGGTTTGAAGTTTCAGATCGATGGGTAGCTTCTTGTCTTAGAAGTAAAGGCGGCCTGTGAGCAGTGCTGACCACATTTCCACTATCAAGCAGTTAGTCACGAAATTGTGGAGCTTTATACTCCATGAGCCCGCTGGTCCACAACCGGCTGTTGCTGGAATGCTTAACTTTTAGCCGAGTATGCTTTAGCTTTTTTAGTACGTCTGAGACAAGTAAGCAAATCTGTCAATCTCATGACCGGCTGGATGGGGGTTTAAATCCCTTCGTTGTCACCACTATATTTGCCCCATTCCTTCAAAGTACGAAGAGTTTACAGTGTCCTGCGCTTCTCAATTGATGATCTTGGATTACGGGAATATGAAATACTCATCCACGCAGAGAAGGCATTTTATTTACTTTTTCTCTGTTACAGTTTTTTCTAAATTTATTTATTCATTTTTGTGTGTTTATTTATCGTAAAATCATTTTAGTTAAAAACCAACACATTTTTAATAATATATTTGCACTAATTCTTTCAAATAATAGATATTTTGTTAATTTTTTATTTTTCTTGAGCAATAACTATAATACGGTAGTATGTATTTGTAACTGAAATATTAAACTGCTACAAAGTTATTTTTAAGTACGAAACCTTTGGAACCCGTACTTTGTGAGAACATTATTTCTAGTGGTAGTAAAACTTATTTATGTATGATTCTGAATTTAATAAACTTGATTAAGACTTGATTTTAAAACAAAATGTTTGCGGGCTTTACTCCTTAACTCTCATCCATTTTATAATTTTTTGCAGAAAATGGAGCAGCTTGATTCCCTGCTTAAGGCTTGGTAAAATTTAAAACTCTGCTAATTACTTCAATACTTTTTCACTATCACTGTAAATTTATTTAATTTAACATGATGTTCATAACCAATGTTTATCTACTTATTATTTTTACAGCGCGTATGCGTATTATTAAATGTAATTATTACAGAAGATTTGCTGAAAAATTTGATACATCCCATACATATTATTAATGTAGATTTACTGAAAATTTCATCAGAATGTATATTATTATTGCACATTTACTTTATTTAACAGGATATTTATTATTTTTTATTTGCTGAAAATTTTGCAGCATGTATATTAGTGTCGATTTACTTAAAAATTTAAGAGCATTTAGTTAAAAAGAAAATGCCGGAATGTTGGACAAAAAATACCTTATACGTTGTAGGTTTATTATTTAGTTATACAGCAATCTATTTCTTTTCATTGCGCAAAATTTATGGACCTATTTCTAATTTATTTAAAACTAATAGTTTATTCTTTAGTAATTCATTTATTTGCCTTTACTGTAATGTATATTCTTAGAATTTCAAAGAATACACATCACAGTGAAAATGCAAAGAATATACATAAAGAATACATATTATAGTACATTCTTAGTATTTAAAAAGGAAACATGCTTCAAATTTCTTTCGCTGATAATATTTGGCAAACAAATAGCATAGATACGGAAATATTTCTCAAAGCTTTGTTCATATTCTTGAAAAATGCACTAACGTTTCTGTCAAGTAAAATGTCTTATGACAACTAACACGGGTAGAAAATGCTATTTCTATAAAATTAAAGTTCAAATGGCTAAAGTATTCGAAATATTCTGTTCTATATCCAAGGAAGGTAAGGCTCTGGATTTAAAGCCCTAAATGAAGCATAATAAAGCGAATTAAAAAAATAAAATATACGTAGTGAAGATTATTATAATTTGTTTGAAAGAATTTTAAAAATACTTACAACTCGGAAATTTAAAACTTGGTAACCAAACACATTTCAATCAATAAAACGATTCAAAAATCGTTTCAGAATGTTAATTAGTTACCGAATAACATAGAATATTGCGTTGAAGTAATTCTTCATAGCTTAAAATGGAGAAAGTAGAGTTCTTTCTGATTCTGAAGAAGATCTCAAAGTAGTTAACTCATCAAGTTAGCTGATTCACAGTTTAGCTAATCAACTTATATATAATAAAAATAAAGTTTCATTGCAGAAAATGGCTTAAAATTTGAGCAATACAGAGTAAACTCGTTTTTTTGTGAAATAAATTTACCTAGGTTAATCCTAAAGAAAGTTTAGGTTGCAAATTTATACAAGTAAATTTTAAGCCAGTATGATGGTGGGGTTCTTACCTTGGTTCTTCATGTCTTTGAATTCGTAAACAGCTTTAAAGCCGTCATATTCTATGCTATCGTCCGACTTGAACCTCAACCACATGTACCTCTTTGTTGAAAATATCTTTTTAGGAAATTGGTTCCCACAAAATATTCCTAGCAAAGGGGAATAACCATAGGCACCATCGCGTACTTCCAGTCTGTCGAAGTCACAGTTGGCGGAGTTTTCTAAATGGAATTTGTCCCGGAAGTCCAATGTGATGGTTTGTCCTGGATTTGCTGAAAGAGAAAAAAAAAATGACTGCACACATAACAAACAGTAGACGAGTCGTCTAGTTGCAAGATTTGGTAAGCGTCATAAAGTAGTTTTATTTACATAAGATCGATTACAGACTTAACTCACAGATTCTGAAACATATAGGCAATATTTTTTAGTTTCATTCTGCGTTTTTCAGATATTCTGTGTTTCGAAAAGTAAAAAATAACTTCTGCTAAAAGAGTTGTTTATATTATAAGTAAAAAAAAGAAAATTTCAACTTAATGATTCATACATGAAGTCTTTATTTAAATAGTGCTCTAACTCCATCTTAGTTCATTTTGAGATACAGTGCCTTACTGCCTTGTTTTTTTCTCCCCAATCTCATTCTTGTGGCTTAGTCGAACAGAAATGTGCTGGAGGGTTAGCAGCTTTAAATCAACAGAAAAAAATAAAATAAAAACACTATTTGACCGAAAGTGATGAAATTTGGTATACTGATAGTTTGAAGCACGGGGAAGGTCACTGTCGACATTAGAACATTCAAATACGTTAGACAGATATGAGCAAAAAGCATATGGAATTTTTTTCCTGATTTAAAATTCTCCAGTGATTAGAATCAAATTGAAAACGATTCCATTTTTTATCAAATATTTTTAAAGATCACATCTGGCCTACCTAACTAAATTAGTACTTCTGAATTATCTGAAACCATGTGCTTATTTTATTCATAGTTACGTTTTCAAAACGAGCTTCTATAAAGTTAAGTAATTTAAATTCAGCGGTAATTGAAGTCAAAATAAGTTATGAACTAATAAGCTAAATCACTGAAGAAATAGTATTAATGAGCTTAGGAGAAACGTAAAAAATCACCATACTATTATTATTTGATTAATTTCGGTAATAGGTAGTTTATTTTATATCCGTTGTTAAACAGTCGACCCAAATTTGAGTTTATGGCTACCAATGTTCAACTCCGAAGGCTTGTAATTTTGAACCCAATCCAGAAGACAAAGGAACTCCGGTATCAATACTCCCTGAAGTATTGATTTGTTATAGGAACTTGCAGGACTTTGTGACCTCGACAGATTTAACGTGCACCAGTCACCTTTTAATACACGAGGATTCTTCTGTCAGCTGGTTTGGAACTCCCTTTCTCACGAACACGAGTCCAAAGCCCTACCAAACCAAACAGGCTATCTTTTCCTTTGGTAATAGGTATTTAATTTTATAACCGTCGTTTAACAGCCGATTCAATTTTTGAATTTACGACTACTGATGTTCAACTCCGTAGCCTTTTAATTTTGAATACAATTCAGAGGACAAGGGAACTCTTGGATCAATTATTGGGAGAAATTTGCCTTCATGGAGGACTTTTTGATGATTTGCATTACATGCTGAAGAAATCACCGTTACCTCCCATGATTAGCCTGACGACAAGGGGATTCTAACCCATGATCTGTCTACCACTGAGGATATTTTAAGTCAGCACTATGATCGGTATATATTATAGGTACAATGCTAGCATGTTTGACATCTATTAGAACTGCATCAATACTTTAATATAGATACCATACTTGAATACTTTAATATAGATACCATGGAATGAGAGTTTTGGCATCTCAAAAGTAATAGGTAACTAACTAACTCAGTGGCGCGACAGCCCATTAAGAGGGCCAAGGCCGACTGTGCCCATCTCAGTTTTCTTGACCTTGGGCTCTGGGGTGCAGGAGCATATGTTCCGGTCAGGTGGTCAGCCGAACGCGGAACCCCCAGTGTTAGTTCCCAAGCATGCTTGGTACTCATTTTATCGACCCACTGAAGGGATGAAAGGCTGAGTCGGCCTTGCCCGGCCCAAGGATCAAACCAAGGACCTGTGGCACGACAGCGCGAAGCGCTACCGCTCAGCCACCGGGCGTCAATAGGTACCAGAGAAAATTTCGTGATTGTGGTAAATTTTGATTATCATGAGATGTCTTGAAATAGCATCATGTCAAATGATATTGAATACAGATAATCTTTATTCTGATGGGATGAATTATTAAAAAAGTGTTTTACTTAATAACGTAAATCCACAGGAAAAGACAAAATAAATAAATAAAAAAATTTAAAATTATTTTAGCTTTATTCTTTGTGTTAGTATATTTCTTTCAATTTTGTGGATGGTTTCGTAGTTTCGTTCGGTAGTAATATATTAATTGTTTATTTCTTTCAACCTCGTAGGAAGAACATGCATTTAGCTATATATATATATATATTNAAAAAGAGAGGATATATATATATATATATATATATAAATAAATGAATGTGCCAGTTAGTCTGTCCCTTATAGACTCCTAAACCATCCGGCTGAGAGTGATGAAATTTGGCATACTAATCGTTCGAAGCACGGGGAGGGTCACTGTTGACATTAGAATATTCCATTAAGAACCGTTCTAGCGGGATGATTGAAATCGAAATTTCTTTTGATTAGCTAAGCGTTAGCCATTGTTTCAAATTAAACTATAGACGATTCCATTTTATCAAAAATTTTTAAAGATAACATCAATGATATTTGCTAGCTTATAGCTCTATTTGATAAAAAAAGAGATTATTGCATGTATTTTTTATTTATTTTTAGCTATGTCAGATAAATTCACTGAACAACATTAACGTAATAGAACAGTTTACACTATTTTCAGTTTTCAAGTGAATTTTGATTAATTAACCTGTACTATGAATAAGTCTAAATATTTTCTGAAAATACTGCCATTCTCACTTGCAATGAATTATTTTACAAGAAGCAGCGATGGTTCAAAATGTTTTATGTTGGTCTTAAAAAGCAAAATCGATAAACTTAATTATTCATTAATTAAAATTTTTGGAAGCACTCTCTATATCCGTCAATCATTTTAAATTCAAAACACTCCAGATTGAAAAAAGTAAATGAAACACTTTAGAAAAATGCATTTTTTTTAAAGTCCTCGTAAACAATTTTATTTTTGTTGTAAGCATAAAATGAAGAAAGCTTTTTATTTAAATTATTCCTGACAATGATGGGGCAATTTAACCCAATTAGAAGTTAGTTTCCGCATGAAAAAGCTTCTAATTTTTCAATAAAGGTTAAAAGTGGAAGCACAATTATTTCATTTTTATGTTGTTTTTATATAAGTAAAAATATATTTGTGCCTGGAAAATATATTAATCATAGAAAAACGTATCTTTGTATTTGAAATCTTACCATTAAATGTTTCATGTCTTTTATAAACGTGGTAGTAAGAAAAACTTTCAAGAAATTTAAGCGTAAGAATATTAAATTTTTTCTACATATTTGGATCAATATTTGAATATAAAATTTTTCTGCTCTTCTTTGATTTTACCAAAGTGGTAACCAATAAAAGAAAACACCCTTTTAAGTTAAATATAAAAAGTATTATTATTTACTTTGTATATGAAATTAAAGGCATGGAAATTTTTGAATAGATTGGAAATGTTGTAAACTAAACACTATTTTTATCTGTAAGAAAGGGTTTCCCAAAATTGAGCGAAAATGTGTCAAAATATCTCAGAAAGAAATAATAGTTGAATTTAAAAACCCATTAATTCAAAATTGAAACAGCATGCACCCATTTCTGAGCAAAATGCCTAGTCTCAAACATGAAATGGAGGTCGAAATACGGATGACAACATTATAATTTTCACTAAGCTTTTATTGAAGAAAAGAGTTAAAAAAGGTATTTACAAATTACATACATGGATCAGAGCTCCTGGATACAAATTTACAGTACCATTTCCAAAAGACAAGTGCGAGCTTTTTTCACATGCAGAGTATAGTTATTCTTTCATGTCATGTGATCTATAATATCCAGACTTCTTTGTTAGAATTGACGCCGTAAGATGTAATCATACGACCGGATGAAGATGAATCAATATCTCAAAATATTTATTAATTTGAATGGGAATTCGACTTCATTAAGATATTTTACTGCGCAGTATGGATTCATTTTATAAATAAAGATTACATTTGAGAAAGATATTCGTTTGCAGCCGGCAGTTTTCGAATCAAGGATCTCCTGGTTTGTAATACGAAATTAATAAAAAACCAATAAATGTAATAATAAAAAAGTTCCTCTATGAAAAATTTGGTTAGGTATTTACGCTAAGAATAATTTAATATTTTTAGTGTGAGTTACTACCTTAGTTTCAAAAGATCACAGCCCTCTAATTTTAGATGAAAGTTTTTATGTATTTAAATTATTAGCATATACACCAAAGAGCCATTGCATTATGACCACCCTCCATCTATAACAATATGCTCGCCCAGGTTTTCATGGTTTCTCGCCCAGGAACAATGTTTTCATGGGGCACATTAGGATTCATAATCCTCATTGAACAATCCCTGACGTCCGTAAGCTACTTGAACATAGTTGCAGACCAGGTTCACCCATTCATGGCAACAGTTTTTCCTGCGGGGGATGGTGTTTACCAACAGGATAATGCACCATGTCGTAAGGGTTGAATCGTCATGGATTGGTTCGAGGAACATTCCAGTGACTTTCAAGTCATGTCTTGGCCCCAAAATTCCTCTGACCTTAATCCAATAGAGCATTTGTGGTCCTACTTGGAAAACCAAATTCGTACTGCCGCGCTACCCTCTCGCAATGTGAGGGAATTGCAGGACCAGTTGGTGAGCGCTTGGTAGCAGATACCTCAGACTACCTATCAGCACCTTGTGGAATCAATGCCACGGCGGGTGCTAGCAGTTTTGAGGGGTAAAGATGGTCCTACATGTTATTAGCAGGGTGGTCATAATGTAATGGCTTTTCGGTGTATATCGTACACAAAAGTCCAGTCTCTTTTTTCCCTTTAAATAAAGTTCATGGGAATGTTAAGCTATGGCTATAAAATAAACTATCAAATAGTTTATTTTCAACAAATGTTATTGAAATTATTTTTAGATTGCAGATAGCAATGTCTTTTGATTTCTATGAAAATAACACAAAAACTTTTCGTTATATTTTTTATTTGCTTTCAAATCTACTAAATATTAATTTTGTCGTAAATATCTAAAAAAATGTTCAGATCTTGTTCTTGCTATAAAAAGAACCAAAGTTTTTAAATGTTTTATAAAACATTTATAAATAAAAGCATGTTCAATAATTTGTTTACATTTACAAAGGTACTATTGTGGTAATGTTTGTGAAAAAAATTAAAAAGTGGAGAAAATGTTTCATTAAATATAGTGTGTAGTTTTGAAAACTCCATTCAGGAAAATTATTAGGAATTTTCAACACTTAATATTTTGTTTCGTTATTTTCTCAGAAACTAACCTAAATAGAAAAAAAAAATTGCCACCATTTCTTTTATTTTTTTTCAAGTAATAATCTAAATTTAAGTTTACATGCATAAACTTATGCGTTCTTAATTGGCTTGAAGTTTAAATATTTATTTTACACTAAAAACATTTTCCATCAAAACTAGTTGTCAGTTAAAAGAAAAAATGCTTACCTGTAATCCGAAGTGTACATGTTACACTCTTTGGATAAGGATTAGGATAGTTTGGACTAAAAAATTCTTTCTTCACGGGATCACCTACTGAGAAATTATAACAGGCTGAAGCTTCGTTTTGTGTTTGACCTGTGTAGGAGAGACTTTCTGGACTAGTTTTGGCACTTTTAGCTGAAAAAAAGAAAAGAAATCTTCTTGAAGCAATGTTAAGAAACAAATATAATTCTGCGATTTTCTGCGTTTCTCAGAGGAAGAGTTCTTTCAAGAATTTAAGATAGTATGCAGAGGAAAAAATTATGGATCAGAATATGGCAAAATCTACCGCGTTTCTTGCTTTACGGGAACACCAAAAAGCTCGGTAATTTTTATCGATTTTGGTGAAATGAACAATAAAATATGGATTTATAATAAATTAGATAAAATAAATGTGATAAAATAGATAAATGTGGTAAAATTAATAAAATATAAATGTGCTAATGATAAATGTGAAAATGATAAACGTGATAAAATTGGGTAAATGTGATAAAATTTGGTAATTTGGCATAAAATCATTCATACGGTTAAGTTTACTTTACATAGTATTTTTTTTCTATATGTGTGGTAGTAAGAACTATAATTTCAAAAACCAGAGTTTCCATTAAATCGTTACCATATGAATGTAAAATTATCAAATGAATGGTTTAAATACCGTATAATTTGGTATTATTAGGCAGAATAATGCCTGACTAATAATACCAAATTCTTTGTTGATTTTTCTTTATTTTTAAAAAAAAGAAAACAAAAATGTTATTACCATACAGTACAGCAATTTCACCAGAATTTTTTCTGGTATCGTTTCTGTTGGAAAAGTAATCTATCTTGGTACGATTTATAGCATGCTAAAGAAGATTTTTGATGCAAGTACTTGTTAAAATGGTCATCTATAGTGCACCGTTTCTTAGAAAAATACTGAATTGATTTTCAAACACACTTTTTCTATTTTCTAAGCCTTGCACACTTTATAGCAAACGATTTGCAAATAATTGTTCTTCAGACATATTTCGTCAAAGAATATTTCTTTAGAATGTCAAAATTGGTCATACCACATATTTAAAAGATGAATAAACATATTTCAATTTCTAAATTTTGAAATAAAAATGAAACGGTGCAATTTTAGTTTTATAGAGGCGAAGATAATGATGCGATGATTACTGAAATCGGAGAAAGCTCATTATAACCGTATTCAAATTTAAAGAATAAAATTTGAGTTTTATTTAAATTACTAAAAACGAAAAAAAAGTAATGGAAATTCACCAGATTCATTCAAAACTAAAACCTGCATAGGCGACAGGTGCTCAAGAAAAAGAGATCAGCGTAGAAAAAAATAAATAAATAAAAAATAGAACCACTCTGAATAAATTTTCATTTAATGATCGGATCTTCATGTCACAAGGAAAATCATCTTTATAAAATCCGATTTCTTAGGCACTATTTTGTATTTTGCTATGTAAAACTATATTCTTTAAAATGATGTAAAAAATTATTCCTTACGATTCAAATAATGCATAATCATCATCTATTAAGAATGCATCTTTGTACGCGCAACTCTGATCATTAGATCATAAGTTATTTAGGTGTTTTGTTACTTGTTTTGCACCCCATCGCGTAGTGGAAAAATAATATTTAAAAGAAATCGAATAGTTAAGTTACCAATTTTTAAAAAAAGGAACTCATTTTAGAACTCAATCAATCGATCGTTGAAATTTTGTATTTTTCAGTTACATTCTTCAAAATGATTTAGAATTTGTTCGCTTTACAATTCAAATTTTTTCTACTATCATTAAATAAAATTATAAGAAAATAATAAATTAATATAAATCATTTTTTGAGTGGAATTATGGATAAACGAATTTTATAATTGTGGACAAAAATTTTCAATTGACTTAAATAGTTCTGGACTAAATACAATAAGGGGTCCAAATGTTCTAGAGCTCTTTTAATTGTGGGGAGAGCGGAAATCGATTAAGCCAACCTTCATCGATCAAAAGGTACCTCGTGATTGAATCAAGTTAGCATGTCTTATATACCACTAAATTGATGTTTAATAATCATAGTGCCACAATACTCCCCCACCAGAATTTTATCAGGGATAGAATTCGATGAACGGATACCACTAGTTGCCATACTTTTGAGAGACCGGGAGAGCTGGATTAAGGTCACCGGGTTTTTGAGTTCTGAATGCGAGCGGTGTATTAACTTCACGGCAGTGGTCGCTCCTGTGTTGCCCTTAGCAGTCGAGTGTATGCAGACTGACGTTGTGTGTGATCGAGATGAGACTGAGTAGCAACAGCGCGAGGAGGTGGATAATGTCGCAGTCACAAGTAGCAAGTCAAGTGTTCAATGTGGACCATCCATCGAAGTAGGCGTATTCATATCGAAGTGGGTGTTACTGTCAAGATAGGTGTGTTCATATCTAAGTTGGCGTTACTGCCAAGGTAGGCGTGTTCACATCACGTCCGCAAGTCACCAATGTGGGGGACGGAGTTATCGACCACTTACTACTTGGACCATATTTTCCAGATTGCGGCTATTCTCTTTGTTTTGGGGGACAGAAATCCGAATTCATCGAAAAAAAAGTATGTTTACTTAATTATGCTTAAAAAAGTATGTTTATTTAAACTTAAAATATCAACTTTCAATAATAATATTTAAGGTTACTTTCTTTAATCGTTAAGATTGAAGTCCTAGAAAGTGAAGATCCGATTATTAGATCAAAAGTTATTCTGAGTGGTAACGCTTATCCATTTTTCTTGAGTATCTGTGGCCTACATAGATTTTTATTTAAAATGAAGCTTATGATTTTTTTTCTCGGTGCACTGTACAGTTTGATGTTACACCTTAAGTTCGAATGCTGTTAATATGCCCACATCTACAAGTTAACTATGGTAATCTGTTTAACTGCAACCGTTATCGTAATTTACTTAGGTAATGTCTGCAACAACGGTTTTCGTAAGGCTAAAGTTCAAAAGTTTCTTTCGCTCTTTCTGTATACAAATCTGTTGATCGTTTGATTGTATTTATTAACTTGATTTTTTATCTACTGAAATTTGATTTTGATTGATATTTTATCTATTGATTGATATTTTAACTTTGATAAAATTGATTTATATTTCATCTATTGACTTTTTGTATTTTTCAAAGTGATTGATAGTTAACTCATTTAACTATTATTTGGCTGCAGTAATTTGGTTTTTTAGACAGCGAAAAATAAATATAAGTAACGTTATATTAATTTAAGCTTACAGAAACGTTGCTGTTGTTGCAGCGAAGATCTTATTTTCACTTCTACTAGAGCCTGTTAGGTAATGTGTCTATTATCTATTATGCACATTACATAATTTGTCTGCTGATTACTTAGGTAATTTCAGATGGAAAACAATTATTTGGTATTTTAACAGATTATCCTAAATAATCTGTGCATAAGCTAAATAATCTGTAGAATAACTGATTTCTACACTGCGGCATTATCAACTTTTATCCAGATACGCAAATTTTTTTTAATGAAACTTTCATATTCTCATATTTTCGATTACATCCTATCTATTTTGAAACGTAATAAAATAAAGTGAAATATAAAACTCAACATCAAATACTTAAAGGAGCGATGGCAGTGAACAATATACGAATATTTTATATACAGAAGGAGACAATAGAGATAGTGTTAATACAGAGATTGTGCTTCTTTTAATTCACTATTTAAATTTTAAAAGTTTTTACGTCAGATTGTTATTTCAGATGAATATTATCATGCGTACAAAGCTAAATAATTTTTCAAACTTAACAGTTATATAAACAAACAACTGTTGTTTGATTGTAGTAACTTGATTCCTTAGCTAGCGAAAGATAAATAAATAACATTAGGTTAATTTAAGCTTACAGAAACGTTGCTGTTGTTCCAGCGAACATCTAATTTTCACTTTTACGAGTGCATATTAGGTAATGTGCATATCATCTAATTAGTTAGCGGATTTCCTAGGTAATTTGAGAAAAAGAAATTTTTTTTGGCAATTTAACGGATTAACCTAAATAATCTATAATCTGTAGAATAACTAATTTCAATACTTTAACGGTAACACAGGAGCTGTTTGATTTACTTTATAGTAGTAGTATTAATCATTATTAGCTATTTATTTTATGAATTTTTCATATTAGCATAAATTCGATTACATCCTATCTGCTTCGAAACGCAAAAAATATAATGAAATCTAAAACTCAGCATCAAATACTTAAAGGAGCGATGACAGCTTACAATATTTCTTTTTAATGTAGAGCGAAACAATAGAGTTAGCGCGTGTTAATATAGAGATAATGCGTCTTTTAATTCCCTATTTAAATTTTTTATGTTAGATTGTTATTTTAGATTAACATTATCATGCGTGCGAAGTTAAATAATTTTCCAAACTTCATAGTTTTCGGCTCTATAATAATTAAATGCGAAAACAGAAGCTTTATTTCTCTTTTTGTGTGTAAACTTTACTATCTCGAATTGCTTATCGAATTGACAGGAAATTGTTTTCGCTTTAATTAGATTTTCAGCTAAATAGTTCTTTGTTCTCTTTTGCGTTATCAAGAACAGGAATTTCTGCAATTTGTATTCATTTACAATTATTTAGTCATTGGGATTTAATTAACTTAATTCGGATATTTTTTTAAAAAGATTATGAAGACGAATTAAAAAGAAAAATAACAATAAATAACTAAACTGAATTACGTGGATTATTTGTTTGAGTAAAACCCGCGGGATATTTGATAGAACTAGATTAAATTAAATTTATCAGCATATAATATTTTTATCGCTTTGGAGTTATTCGGGTAGACAGATGCTTTTTTTTAGTTTATTAGTTTATATAAAGTATATTCTACGAAATTTTCACCAAATTCGAAGAGTTGATGGTTAATTTATTCCGAGAATTTTATTCTGTTAATTATTCCCAGTACATGTAATGAACTTCAGCAAAATTATTAGCAATATTGTAATTCATATGGTTAGTTCTTTTTTTAAGAAAAAAAACATAAGTATAATTTTTAAAATGATTGATGATTAATTCTATCAACTTACGTGTTGATCATTTGACTATAGTAACTTGATTCTTCAGATAGCGGCGAATAAATAAATAACATTACGTCAATTT